CAGGTGGAAGTTTGCGAGCTCCAGCACTGAAGAATTGGGTGCTGCCAGGATTTCCTGGATGGAAAGCAGCCCCCCAAGGCTGGAATTTGGGAATTCTGCAGGGAGAGGGGAATCCTGCATGGGCTGCAGGCAGATCGTGCCATCAGTGCTCTTCAGCACAAAGGACAAGTGTGGGGACGAGGGCAGCAGGGTCAGGGCATCACCTCTGACTGTGCTGAGGTTCTTGGCAGCTGCATCGAGGGACATCCTGAACTGCTGCACCAGAGCCTGTGCCAGGGCTGCTGGGACCTCACGGGGCACCCCTGGAGTGGGAAGTGCTGTGGTGGAGCTTCCCTGGGCAGGGGATGAGAGCAGCAGAGCAGCAGGAGCTCCCAGCTTGGTGGGGCTGGGAGGGACAAGGCTGGGAAGGGGAACTGCCTGGTCCCTGTGGCTGTGAGCTCCAGAGGGGCTGGGGACAGGGCTGGCAGCTGGGGACAGCACTGGAGAGCCAGGTTTGGGGACAGGGCTGGCAGCTGGGGACAGTGGAGGAGAACCAGGCTTGCTTCTTCTCCCTGTGCTCACCTGCAGCATCCCAGCCAAAGCTCCCCGAGGCACAGGAGGGGCAGAAGCTCCTTGGAGCTGGGGCCCAGAGCCAGGAGATGTGGGTGAGCTGGTCGGGGTGTGGAGGCCCATGGGCTGCATCCCAGCACCAGCAGGAGCAGAGGCACCAGGAGGCTGAAGCCCTGCTGGGATAGAATCCCAGGGCTGGAGGTCACCATTCCCAAAGGTGGGCATTCCTGGGGAGAGGGCAGGTGGTGTTTCTTTGAGCTCTTTAGTAGATGGGGAAGGTTTTAATGTGGAAATCCACAACTGGATTAATGAGGACGAGCTCAGAGAAGGCTGTGGGCTGTCAGGGGAGGGAGATTTTCCAGGTCTCCCTGTCACTGCCCAAGGAGCAGCATCTCCTTGCAGAGCCAGAGCTGCCATCTCCTGAGAGCTCCTGTTGCTCTCTGGGGGAACGTGTTTGGTGCAGGTGGGAGCCCTGTGCAAAGAGAGGGGCTGTGGTCCATCACTTGTGCCAGCTTGGAATGGAGATGGAAGGAGCTCATCAGGAGCCGGAGCTTTCATGGAGAATGAAGAATTTCCACTGCCTGGCAGGGGGGAGTGAGGAGCAGGCAGCTGGGCTGGGCGTCCAGAACCGATTGTTCCACCTGAGGCTGAGCTGCTGCCTTTGCTGCCTGTGGTCTCCTGCTGCAGAGACACAAGAGGGGGAAACCCAACGGGCCTGGCCTGTGCTGTTCTGGCATAGCCTGAGCCAAGGGCCCCTGGAGCTGGCTGTGGTGGGATTGCAGAAGCTGTGACTGCAGCATCCACCCCTGCCCCGGGGCCAGGCCGGGCTGCAGGGATCGTGCCCGGGGCCCTTTTCCCAGTGGGAAGCGTTCCTGTGGGCAGCCAGGCCTCCCCTGCTCCTCCCAGAGAAATCCCAGCTCTGGGGGGAAATGCAGATGCTGCCGTTTCTCTCCTTGGGTGAAAACCCAGCGTTGGGGTCAGAGGAGAAGGTTTGGGGCTTGGCACCTCCCTGTGCTTGACAGGAAGGGAAGAGAGAGCTGTGCCCTGGGGAGGGTCCTGCTGTGTCCCTGCGCCCCGAGAGGGCCGGGGCAGCCCTGGGCTGGAGCTGGGAGGGCTGAGCCCAGCCCCAGGAGGACTTTCTGCTTCTCTCTGCGGTGCCAGAGCTGCGGGGGCCCGTGGTCCCCGTGTGGAGCCGCTCCAGGGCTTGCCAGGAGCTGCGTGTCCATCCTGGGCCCTCCTGGCTCCGGGCACGGCCCCAGGCAGCAGAGCTGTGGTGTTTGCAGCTCCCCGGGGGTGGGATGCAGGGTCAGAGGCTGCTTCAGTGCTGGCATCAGCTCCTGGGCTCTGGGGATGCAGGGTCAGCTCACCCCAGCCACCCTTGGTGATGGGCACGGGGCTGCTCTGGGCAGAGCTCAGCCCCAGCATCCCAGGGCTGCTCCTGGAGGCACCTGGGGAATGAGAACAGGCCTTGGCTCAGCTGAAATCAGCCTCAAACTGCTCCAGCAGCACTTCAGGGCAGCTGAACTGAGCAGGCACTGCCTGCACCAGAGCCACGCTGGAGCTCTGGCACTGCCAGTCCCATTCCCAGTCCCACTCCCAGTCCCACTCCCATTCCCATTCCCATTCCCATTCCCAGCTGTCACAAACCTCATTCTTTGCTGCTGATGTGCAGCATCACACGAAGGACCCAAGGCATGAGCCAGCCACAGGGGATCCCTTGATCTCCACTGAAGATGCAGGGAGAGGGAAACCCTGGCCAAGGACAGGCTGGCAGCTCTTCCACAGCAGAGCAAGATTAAAATAAACCTAAAGGAGCTCCCTCCCCTGGCTCTCCTTCAGCACTCCCCCTCCACCAGCATCCCAGTGCCACCAGGAGTTTCCTGATTCCCCCAGGGTGTCCAGGCAGGTTTGTTTTGGCACAGAGCAGAGAGAACACGGCAACCTCTCAAACCCAAAGCAGCCACTTTGTCACTGAAAAAGGCAGACCCTGCCTTTGAAAGGTTATTCTTTTCTCCACACATTTTACTTTTTCTGTCTTCCCATCAGAAGGCTGATGTTCCAAATTACACTTTCCAAACCACAGACTAAAATGGATTTTCCTCCCCCAAAAAAAACTTTAAGCATTTTTCCTTAGGCACCTGCCAGGAAAGCCACAAATCTAAAACCTTGAGCGTTATGCATTTAAATTGTGGCTTTTGACAAAGGCAAAGCAGAGGTTTAACAGCTTCACAAAAAGAAGAAAATTATTGATTGGGTAGAATATTCTTTGTCATTTCCCAAGTTTCTCTTTCCTGATGAGAACAGCCTGCCTGAGGACACTGCTTCCACCAGCCCAGCTAATTTATGAGCCCTCCCAGGGATGCTCACAGGCACCCAGCAAGGTGGAAAGCCAAGGCTGTGAGTGACAGCAGCCCCAGGAGCTCGGCTGGGACAGCAGCAGCACAAACCCAGCCCTGACTTTGTGCTGTCAGGAATATTTGGCAGGACAGCTGTTCCTAAAGGAGAGGCAGCACAGGGTGTCAGTGCTGCTGGACTGCGGTGCCTGGCAGAGGGGATTCTGAACGAGCCTTCAGCAGCACCAGCCTGATCCTCAGCGCTGCTTGGAGGGCCTGAGGAAAAGGGATTTTTCATTTGTTTTGCCCTAAAGGGAGAATATTTTCTCTGGGGACTGAGCAGCACAGTGATGTGCTGGTGAGGGGTCACTCACCCCTGGGTGAAAGCATTTCCCCCAAACCCTGGGTGAAAGCATTTCCCCCAAACCCTGGGCTGCACAAATGGGAGCAGCTTCTCCCTCACCCCAGAGCTGCCCACACCTGAGGCTGATGGCACCACCGAGAGCAGAGCAAAGGGGGCAGAAAAGCAGCGATTTCTGAGAGCAGAACAGAGCCCATCACTCACCAGACAAATCCAACAGTCCGGCTGCCAGCAGGACAACGATGAGGAACTTTTCCTGCATCTCATGGAGCAGCACCTGAGCCATCCCAGTAAAGAATATCCCACCTGGAAGCAGCTCCCTGAGGAGCCTCTGCTGCCTCCCAGCAATGGGCATTTGCTGCTTGCTCTGAAGGGTTGGGTTACTTTATAAGAGCTTAGGCCAGACACCAACCAATAACCTGGTCCAGGAAAAAAAATCCTGCACCAATTGGAATCAATCGCTTTTTAACAAAAGAACAGAGTGTGGTCCAGGTGGATTTTACGTCCAAAAGGTGGAAAATGTGTCTGGGAACACGAGAGGGTGCTTGTGCAGCCCTGGGGGAAGAGCTAAAACACTCCCTGGAGGGCTGGGTGAGGATGTGGAGGGGCTTGGATGCAGCCAGAGGAGGGGAACAGAGCTGGGGCAGGGCTGGGAGTGCCTCCTGCCAGGCTCAGGGCTTGGGGAGTGCCCACTTTGGAGAAAAGGAGGCTCAGAGGAGAGCTCCTGGCTCTCTGCAGCTTCCCCAGGAGCACATGGAGATGTGGAGGACATGGAAGGGGAGGTGCTGAGTTCAAACTGGATATGAGGAGGTGTTTTTTAGGCAAGAAGGTGGTCAGACCCTGGAGAGGGGATTTTGTACAATGCCCTGAACACACTTTGACTCCTGCTCAGCCCTGGAGTGCTCAGGCAGCTGCACTGGGTGATGCTGCAGGCTCTTTTTAGCTGATCTATTCTATAAGTCTAATTTTTTTTGCCAGTTTGTGCCAATAAAACCATCCACAGGGATCAGCCTGGATCCCAGGGAGGAATGGAAACCACAGTGAAACAAGCACAGAACTCAAACCTTCCTAAGAGCCCAGGGAGAGCCCAGAGGCTTCTTGGGCACAATCACAGCTACATCTTTTTTAGCCATAAAGCCCCCAAATAACTGTAATTAATTACAGTTTAATAATTAATTAATAATCCCCTGCAGGCAGCACCCAGCAGGAATCTCTCAGTGCCAGGCACACAGACACCGAGCCAGACCTGAGACAGGCTGAGGGGACAGCAGAGAATGTCCTGGCACAGCCCTGCCTGTCTGAGGCACTGAACACCTGAGCAGAAGGAAGATAAGGCTCCTACTGACAGCTGGGACAGCTGGGACAGCCAGGGGACAGCCAGGAACAGCCCAGGAACAGACAGAGACAGCCCAGGAACAGCCAGGAACAGCCAGGAACAGTCAGGGACAGTCAGGGACAGTCAGGGACAGTCAGGGACAGCCCAGGGACAGCCCAGGGACAGTCAGGGACAGTCAGAGACAGTCAGGGACAGTCAGGGACAGCCCAGGAACAGTCAGGGACAGCCCAGGGACAGTCAGGGACAGTCAGGGACAGTCAGGGACAGCCAGGGACAGTCAGGGACAGCCCAGGGACAGCCCAGGAACAGCCACTGAAAAAAGCCACTGAAAAGTTGATGTGCTTTGAATGAATTTTATTAAAGCAAAGAAAACTCAACAGCAAGTGAGATGAAGGGCACTTGTGGAAGGTTTCTGAAGAGTTCAGCTGCTCTGCACATATTTCATGGAGGAGTTCAGGATGGCCAAGCCATTGAGCTGCCTCAGCTGCTGCATGTGCCTGGAGAGACAACAGGGGGAACAGGTGGTGACTAAAAATTCCACTTTTCACTGCTCTGCCCAAAATTCCAGGGGTGTTTAACGCTATATTCAATAAATTCCTCTTAAAACAGAGGTTTTAGATAATAATAATATTAATATTATTATTATTAATAATAATAACAGCAGAATTAATACAGATACTCTTAATACAGAGTTTTAAGATTATTATTGCCCTCAGAAAGGCATATAAATAGTATTCTTTATTATAAATATATATAAATATATATATATTATGGATAAATTTATAGATATTTAATATCTATAACATATATAAATTTTATAATTTTTATATATAATGTTTATATATTTTATATATTATATAATATTATAAATATTTTTTCAGATTAACAAAACTAAGAAAATAAAGAGTTTCCCTTCTATCTCTGCTCTTTTAGAGAGATCTCAGGGCTGATACTTTCTCTACTGCTCATTTGAGAGCTACAGACTTCCAACATCACTTCTGTTCTTCCAGCACAGGTCAGTGAACTCCTCGAAAGATGTGGAGACAGAAGTGACACCCCAAGCAGGATTTGGGGACGGGATCACAAGAGGGAATTCTGGTTGGAGGAGGGAAATAGAATTCACGGCCTGTTTATAGAAATTAACTGAATAATTGCAGATTTGAGTCACCCCGGTTGTTTCTCCAGGGGTTATCAGCTGCCAGCAGAGGAGGGAAGTACAAAAAGGGAGTTTTTGCTCCTACCTTGGCTCAGCCAGGCAGAGCCTGCCCAGGGCAATGGCTGAGTTGCGCTGCACGGCTCTGGGAGCATCCCCCGCAGCCTGGCGGAGCAGCAGCTGCACCACGCCGGAGCCCAGCAGCGACGATGCTGCCCCGGGGAGCAGCAGGCACTGGCTGAGGCAGAAAGCTGCATTCCCCACAGTCAGCTCATCCCCCGACTCCAGCAGCTGCAGCAGCACCTGCAACCCTGGCAGGAGGGGGAATCTCTGTCACACACACCCAGAGCCGCTCCAGCTCTTCCCTGCTGGCTGCAGGCAGTGAGTTTGGTGCTGTTTCTGGGGCAGAAAGGGAATTTCATGGCAATTTCAGCATCCAGGAGGCTGCCTCAGCTCCACCTGCCCAGATGTGTCTGTCACAAAGAGCTGAGCGTGCCACATTAAATCCCTTAAACCAGAAATGCTCTTGTGGAGAGAACAGCTGGAAAAAGGAACATAAAAAAAGCTTTGTGTACCTCCAGAGCTACCAAAGCAGCTCAGCTCACCTGGGAGCTGAGGACAGCAGAGTTTTGGCTCTGACACCTGAAAGCAGCAGCAACATCTCAGGCCAGAGATCCTGAAACACTCAGAGATCACTGAGCACTGGTGGGATAAATACAGCCACGGGTTTCTCACCTGTGAGGTCTCCCCTGGCAAACAGAGCTGACAAAATAAGGATTAGTGACTTCTCACAGGTTAAATCCCAGAATTCTGGTGGAGAGAATGAGGGTGAAGTGTTGCTGCTGATTTGAGGCAATGAAAGCTCTGACTGCAGCTGGAGTGAGAGGAAATCCTTGGGGTGCAGGTTGAACTGCAAGCACTGACAGCTTCCTGACAGGTTCAGCCATTTCAGTAAAATCTCAGTATTCTCTGCTGTTGTTCCATTAGCATTGATTGGGCTGGGTTTAAAGCAATCCAAGCAAACAGATCAGAAATACCCTAAAACTGCTCTGGCACCACTCCTCTGCCTCCAGCTCCAGCTGCTTTTAATGTCCCCACTGAGGACACCATCAACAACCCCCAGCCCTGGAAATCACAAGTTTCACTTACTTTTATCCCACCTCAGCAGCTCTTCCTGAGCTCTCCTGCTGCTCTTGGTGCAGGTGGAGAGGGTCTTTATGGCATAGCTGCATGTGAGCTGTCCCCCAGCCTGGTGGGTTAAAGCAGAGTGAACAAACACATCCCCACTGTGCCCCACAACAGGCTGGGAACTCAGGAGTTCCCCAGGCCTGAGCCCAAATTCCAGCTGAAAACCCTCCCAGGGTGTTTATCTGAAGGTGAACACAGGCTGAGAATCACATAAAACTCATTTAATTCCTGCCAGCAATGAACACACAACATTCCCTGGATCTCTGCAGCCCAATCCTTTTCAACTCCCCTTGACAGGGATCCCAGTGCCACAGATTTTTTTTCTAGACTAACTTGATCTGCATAATCCACACCTGCTGGACACAGCTGTACAGCAAAAATTAAAATAGGAATTAAAAATAAATTTTAAAAAGGCTTAAAATGAAACCTGGGAGCGCTGTTGCAACAGTACAGACACATCCTCCAGGGAAAGGAGGATAAACACAGGGGGAGTTAGATTTGCTCAGGGGACAATGCAGGCAGAAATAAAGAAAGTTGGATTTACTTTCAGGAATTTGAGCATTTTCTTCACCACTCCTCCTTTCAGCACTTCCTCCACTGCTGAGGGGGACGCTGGCAGGACCCGGCTCAGCACTCCAATGGCTCTCTAAATGAGGGGAAAAGGAGAGAGAAGCAAAACCAAACATTTATTGGTCCAGGCAGCCTGATTATTTTGTTCCTTGCAGAGTAAGACTGAAGTAATTAAAGTGCTAGAAGAAGAAATTCACAGAAATTAAAGCAATTCCAGAATCTAACAAAGAACATCTTCAGGATGTGGCTTTTTTTGGTTGTTTCCTGGGGACTGAGCACAGCAGAGATGTGAGCTGGGACCAGCACAACTCCCAGGGTGTTCATTCATTAAAAAAATAAAAATAGCTGTAGAAAAATAGTAGAGACCAGCACTGCTGGCACTGAGAGGAGTCAAACAGCTCAGAAAAGTTCCTGAGAGCTCAGGGGAGGGACTCAGAGCCCACATCTGGCCCTGCCTGGAGGGGCTGCTCTCCCTGGAGTCCCACCCCAGTCCCAGGAGTACAACTGTAATTCCCACACAGGAACTGCAAAGGGGAACAGCTGCTGAACACCCAAACTGCTCTTGCTCCTTTGCTCCTGCTCTGGTTTTTAAAGGTTTCATATTGAAATGGTTTGTAAGAGATTCTATTAAGCAGGTTGCAAGAGAACCTTGAAAACCTCTTGCATCAAACCATATAAAAATTAATATAAAAGTGGTCTGTTGTTCTTTCTTGCTGTTAGGGATGTGTCAGCCTTCAAAGCCCCCTGCACCAGGCAGGAGTTTGCTCTGAAGAGCTCAGGAGAGCCAAACCCAGCTTCTGTTGGTGACTTACTGTGACAATCCTTCCCTCCTGATGCTTGAGCAGAGCCAGGCACCTGCCACTGATGGGCACAGCAAAGTCCTGGAAAACACAGGGAAAACACAGGGAAAACTCGGGGAATACTCGGGGAAAACTCAGGGAAAACTCAGCTCCAGCTGGAGCAGAAATGGGCTCATGGACAAACAAATCCCCTGGAAACCAGGGGAGTCACCAGCTCTGCACCACCCTGGGGGGACTCTGGGAATTCTGCTTTCCTGATGGAATCCTGAGTTTTGGATAATCTTGGAATGTAACCAGGATCTCAGAACACGGCACAATTGGAGAGTGATTCCAAACAGAACATTTATACCACTATGGAAAGATAATTTATGCACTTGACACTGTTTTCTCCTCGTAGCTGTTTGTGTATTGGAGGTGGTGGCAGAGGAGAAAATTCTGTATTTTTTTTTTCACTTTTCAGCCCACTTAAATTGTCAATTACCCTTAAATAATAGCAACCTGCAACACCATAATGTTTTTTAAATATGTTGCCTACCTGGATGGTGGTGTTGGATTCAAGCAGCAGGTTCATCATCAGCCCCAGCACTGCAAACACACACTGCTGGTACTCAGGGCTGCTGGCAGCAGGGCACCCATCCTGTGTGAGAGCAGGGCAGGCAAATCAGCTCCCAGGGCCCTTCCTCATCCTCCTGGGGCAGCTCCAGGGCGAGGAAAAGCAGAGTTGGGGACACCCCTGTGACACAAATCCGTGTGTTTGGCACCCAGAGGTGCAGAGCCCAGCTGGGGATGTTTGGGATGGTGCAAGGATCCCTTCCACTCCCTGAACCTCCCCAGGGCTGTGCTCGCCTGCAAGGGGCAGCTTTTAGGGGACACAGGAGGGGAAGGGCTGGGAGGGGAGCAGACAAAGAGAGGTTCCTTTACCAGCAGCTGCAGACAGGCGTGCCAGCACTCCCTGCTCTGAGCCAGCTGTGCCCGCAGCACAACATCTGCACAGAGGCTGCCCAGCAGGGCCACGGCACGGGCCAGGGCTGCCTGCTCCACCTGCCTGGCACCCACCTGCAACACAGAGAGCAGCAAACAGCACCAGGAACAGCAAAGAGCCCCTCTGCACCCAGATTTAACCCCTCTGTTAAATCCCAGCTGCACGAGGTTTGCACATTTCCCTCATTTTCCTTCTTCTTTATGGAAGGGATGGATTTTGTGCTCCCTAGGTGTGAACGTTTCCTCAGGGCACAGAACAGCTGCTGCAGCTGGAATTCCAGCAGGGAATGTTCAGAAAGAAGAGACACAAACAATGTGGAAGTTAGGAAATGATTGTCTTGCTGCTCATTTGGAGAAATGGGAGTATTTTACTGCCCAGCTCTGCCATTCTGCAGCAATCTTCCCCTTCCTCAGGACAGGCTTCTGCACCAACACATTTTAAATTTGCTGTTGGAATAAAGGACAGCCAGGAAAGGAATTCTTTACCTCAGGAGACAATGTCATCTCCTTACCCTCAGATTAGAAAGCAAAAATCAGCATCCAAGACAGAACAGGCTGCTGACAGGGGATTAAAGTCACATCAAGAAGAGCAAAACTCAAAGCTGAAGGTGAAATTATCAGTGGGAATCTGCAACCAAGGCCAGAGTTTATACTGAATATCAAACCAGGGATGTGTAGGACAAAATACTGGAGAAAAAGAACATTTTCCTGACAAAAGTCAATCTCTTACACCCACAGAGCAGCCTCAGGACATGTTACACAAAAATAAACTGGAAATACAAAATCAGATCTTCCCTACCAGCAGCTGGGTGAATACAGGTAAAACCCCTGTGGAAAGCGTGGCCCGACACTGGGTTTGGAACCTGTTGGGGGGATAAAAACCCAAAGTTTTAGTCCAAAACCACAGCTAAAGGCAAGACAAAAGAATAGAAACCTCAGTAACCTCACGGCAAAGGTGGCCACAGCCACCTGGCTCATTTCATACAACTCCAAGCACAACTTTATAGAAATGAATGAGGAATTTAAATTACCTTTCCTCTCCAATTAAGTCAGACAGGATGTTCATGGCACTGTCAGCCCTTGCATCAGTGCTCTTGACAAATGCCAGCAAAATCTGCAGCCATCTGGTGTTAAAATGAAAAAACAACCACCAAAAATCGGTGTCAGCTTTGGTTTAATCATTAAAAATCAAAATTCTATTTTTTTTGGTTGTTGGTATTGCAAGCCACAGTTCAATCTGGCTTTTTTCAGCACCCTCTGAGATGTGGTTTGTTCTTTTGAGCTTTCTTCCCCAGGAAAAATGAACAATCTTTCCTGATTGCCCATTTTTACTCCAAAGCAGTAAATGGACATTTCTCAGTGTAACTCTGGGAGGGAGCAGCAGGATAATGGGACAAAGGCAATGCAGTGGTGTTTCTTCCCCCTCTCACTGAGCCATGGCAACACTAAATAACCATAAACCCCAATTTTTTAATGAGGAGAGACTCCCAGCTGGAATCCAGGAGGTTTTAGAGGCACCAGAGCTGTGCCTGAGCCCTACACAGGTTTAAAGGAGAGGACTCAAAACTGCAGGAACCCCCTCCTACTCTGTCTCAGACATCAAAACCTCCTGCAGCTCTACCCCACACATCCAACTTTGACTTTTGCCACGGGGCAGGAGCCTCAGTGCCGCTGTCAGGGAGTTTCTGGGACAGGTGTCCTTGCAGGATTTTCCTGCTGCTGCTCACCTGCTCAGGTCCTGGCTGAGCAGCAGCCTCCGGCCACTCTCGCTCTCTGAGTAGAGAGAAATCAGTGCCAAGGTCTCCCTCTGGATCTGGGCTGTGCCAGAGGAGAGCAGCTCCGGCAGCTGGGCACTCACTTCGGGCTGGGCCAACAGGAGACGCTGATTTTCTTCTGCAAGAGAGGGGAAATCTCAGAGCAGCGTCACTCATTGGCATCCCCACTTTATTCTGGTTTGGTTTTCCAGCAGGAATATTTTATCTGGCGTCAGCTGAACCCCACAGGTCAACACAGACACCAAAATTCTGCATTTCCACTTTACAGCCCACCCCAGCCCCTTGCTCACCCACGTGGGTATTCCCTAAAAACAGGGGCAGGTACCTGCCCAAGCACTACTGATTGTTAATTCTAAAATAATTCTGCCTTCTCTTCTATAAAACTCTGCTCTTTGCAGGTCTAACTGCTTAAAACAGAGAAAACTGTGCAAGTGGTGTTATCTTAAAAAAATCACAGGGAATTTACTTTCCACCCCTTGGGTGGATTTGAAATGCTCACAGAGTGGAAATTTCATCCTGCCAAAACCATGGCTGCATCCACCACCTCCTCTGAACTGCAAAACTCGGGGTGGAGGCACGCCTGGATGGAGCCAGGTGCTCTGGGAGAGGGGTGGCCGTGCAGAAATGCCACATGGATCCCACAGGGACAATTCCAGGGCTTTACCATTCCCAGCACAGGCAGCTTGCCACAGGAGGAGAAGGGAAATGCACAGCTCCACCTCAGCAGGGCTTTTGCTCTCTGCACAGAAGGCCCTGAACGAGAAAAGTCAGCGTGTGAACAGAGCCAAGGATGGACCAAACCCTGGGAAATATCCAGGGAATGAAGATTTGCACGTGCTTCATCCCTCAGCTCTGCCTGCAGCCACCACCCCAAAAAAGGATGAACCCAAAAATTCCCGGAGCTGAGCACCCAAATATTCCCTGGGGCCCAACCACAGCACCAGGGGGTGCAGCCAGAGCCTTCAGATCTTCTTTTATATTCAGATTTTTTCTGCAAACCTGCTCTCACCACGAGGGATAGGATAACTCCCAGAAAGAGCAGGCACAAACAGCAATCAATGAATTCCCCTCCCTGCATGTAAGGGAGCACTGTTTGTGTCAGAGTCAGGTACAAGTCCCTCCATTCAGACACTAAAATCTGGGATTACATCCTCCTCTGATCAGTTCACCTGCATTTCAAGAGGTGATTCTGTTTCTTGAAAACAATATTCCCATTTCCCCAGGCTGGAATCCCCCTCTGGAGAGCTCCTACCCTCTGACAGTCTCGTTCCTGAGGATACTGAAGCCATTGTTTGTCCTAAAGAGCGTTTGCCCAGTGCCTGGAAGAGGCAGAGACAAACAGCTCAGGTGTGTGACAGCCAGGCAGGCTCCTGCTCTTCCTGCACACTGCTAAAAGAAAAGGTCACTGCATCAGCAGCTTTGGGGAAAAACATCATTGAAAACGGGGGGAAATTCAAGAATGAATGAATTAGGAGTGGTTTTGAAGCTGAAAATTGCTCTAATTCATGCCTGGTGTTGTTGGCTTCAAGTGAAAGGCTGTTCAGGAAGGCTGAAACACAAAATTGGCTTTGTAACTCAATGGGCTTTAACAGAGAATTGCAAATATTTATAAACAAATGAGACCCAAATCCCTGAGAACTCTCACCATTTACATGTGTAAACACCTCCTGGCCACGCTGCAATATCCAGCATTGCCACTTTTATGTTTCAAACACAGGAACAGTTACTGAGGTCCTTTAAAAACTGCTCCCTTGCCCTCCTCTGCCTGGGCTACACCTCCCAAAAATGAACAATTTTGGCAGCAAAACACTCACAGCTGTCCAGCACTTCTGCCAGGAGCCTGATGCCCCCCGTGTAGTAGAGGATGTCCTGCTCAGGGCTGCTGATCCTCTGCAGCAATTCCTGGATGGATAAAGCAGCGACATTCCCAGCCTGCACCTCCCTCTCTGCTCTCTCCTCCTCTCTCAGCCTCTTCTCCTGCAGCCTGGCCTCATCCACGCAGTCTGGGGATCACAGGGAAACCTGGCAGGGAAATCCTGTTCCATCCTCAGCAGAAAACCAGGGGCAGAAGATGGATTTCTTACCTTTGAACAGGTTTTCCTTTTGGGGATCCAGCTGCAGCATCTTCTCATAGCACTGCCTGGACTTGAGGGGGAGAAGGAAAGGGCTCTCAGCTTCACTAGAAATGGGAAGATATCAACGATATCCCAGGCAGATCCCAAAAGTTTTTGGGGCCACGGTTCTTAATAAATGTGAAAAGTAAAATTTATGGAGACACAAATGTCAAAACTCCCCAGAAAGTCAAATATTCTCAGTCCCTACATCTGCCTGCTGTTGCAAATTAAAAGGAAAATTTCCAGTAAAACCCAAGGAGCAAAAAATCAGAGTGAGAAAACAGAAACTGAGGCATGGCATGAAACTTTCTCCCTCTCACCCACCAAATTCAGACCAAAACTTGGTCCCAGGGCCCCAAAATCCAGCCAGCTTACCTCAGCAAAGTGCTGCAGTGCCAGGTGAGCTTTCCCCATGAGGAAATAGGCTTTAAGGCAGTTTTTATTGCACTGAGTTAAAAAAGAAACTATTATTAGCTATGTGTTTAGAAAACTGCAGCCTTTCAATATTTTTTCCAGCATTCTGATTAATAATTAGAGCTGCCCAAGGCAAAGATTAGGGTATTTATACCACTTATCAGAGGTGTGTAAAGTTTTTATGCTGAATTATTGTCCCCAGGGACCCGAGAAACACAGGCTTGAGGTGAGGGTGGAAAGCAGGATTTCCAAAAGGTGATTATTTTCCTGTTCATTTGAGTCAAAAATATGGATTTCTGTAAATAATGCTGATTTTAGAGATCTTTTCCCCTTGACAATTCTGGAATTACCTTTAATGCCCACTCGCAGTCATTGATGGCTTTCTCATACTCATGGAGCTTCAGGTAGGCCTGAAAGAAACCCAAAAAAAGTCCAGGCAGAAGAATGAGAACCCTTCAAACAATTTCTGCTCACTGTTGTACAAACACTGGCTAATTAAAAAGAATAAAATTAGGCTGCTGATTGGCCTGGCCATTGATTTTTGCAGGGTAATTTCCATTCTGGTCTGCCATCTCCCTGGATTTTCTAATTTCAAGTCAATTTAACAGAATTCTGCACACACCCACAGAGTACAGAAGGTTACAGAGAATGCAGAGCAAATATTTCACTCTGCAGTTATAGAAGTGATTACTGGAAAAAAATAAAATAAAATAAAATAAAAATAAAATAAAATAAAATAAAATAAAATAAAATAAAATAAAATAAAATAAAATAAAATAAAATAAAATAAAATAAAATAAAATAAAATAAATCTGAGTGTTTAAATAAAACTGGGAATTGCAAAGGTTTTTCCCCACTTGCCCTGGAGGGGTTCACCACATCCAAGAGGCTGGGACAGAGCAATGTTTTTGGGGTTTTATCCTGGCACAGCAACACAAAAAGCAGCTGGAAGCGGCTCCACTGACCTGAGCCCTGTTTGTGTAGAGCTCCTGTTTGTCCCTCAGCTCCTGCAGCCCCTGGGAGTATTTCTGCACGGCCAGGGCAAAGTCCCCTGCCCTGAAGGCTTCGTTCCCCTGCTCCTTCAGGGCTGCAGAGTGAATTGAGAACAGCAATTCCCTCCCGTCCCCCCAGGTGGGCCTGAGGAGACAGAGGCCACGCTCCCCTGCTGGAATTCCACAATTCCACAATTCCACAATTCCACAGTTCCACAATTCCACAATTCCACAATTCCACAATTCCACACTTCCACAATTCCATAGTTCCACAATTCCACACTTCCACAATTCCACAATTCCACAATTCCACAATTCCACAATTCCACAATTCCACAGTTCCACAATTCCACAATTCCACAATTCCACAATTCCACAGTTCCACACTTCCACAATTCCACAATTCCACAATTCCACAATTCCACAATTCCACAGTTCCACACTTCCACAATTCCACAATTCCACAATTCCACAGTTCCACAATTCCACAATTACACAATTCCACAGTTCCACAATTCCACAGTTCCACTGCTCCCAAGGCTCCCACTGCAGCCATTCCTCCTCCAGAGGGAAAACTCAGCCCCAGCTCCCTCCCTCCATCCCAGCCCAGCCCACCGTGAGCAGGGGATGGGGAAAAGCAGCTCTGAGGGATCCCTGAAGGTTCCCAGTGCTCAGACAATCCCAGCTGTGCTCCCCCAGCCCCTGGCAGGGCACCAGCCCCAAGAGCTCTCAGCCATCACCGTTTGCCAGCTGCTCCTTCCTCCTCCTTCGCTGGGCTCGCTCTTTGGCATCCTTTTCCAAAGCTGCCAGGAAGCCATCTTCCAGCCAGGAGAGTTGGTGCCATTTCAGAGGGGGAAAATAAGAGCAAACTTCATTAGAATAGAGAAAAAAAACAGTAATTCCTAGGGTATTTCTGAGTCATTTCTTAATAAAAGCAGATACTGAGGGGACATTTCAGCAATTAAAGTGGAAGTGGCTGTCACAGACAGTGATGAGGATCTGCACACCTGCCTTGCTGCAGCCCCTCTCCAGGGGCAAACAAACATTGAAATTCACAATAAAAAGTGTTCAGATGAGGAGCCAGAATAGAACAAGGCTCCTTCCTGTGAAAAACACAGCCATGCTGGCAAAGACCCCGAGCCTGGTCCTAGATTTGACTGAATTTTGGTTAAAGACAGCAGAAGAAGTCAGCCTGGACTTTGGCAGGGGTGGAATCGGGTGTTACAGGAGCTCCATCCCTGCTCAGCGTGGTTTCAGAGCTGTGACAGACAGACAGACAGACAGGGGACTGTGTCAGGGGCACTGTCCTACCTGCATCCACCGCCTCCGGCCTCGCCGTGCCCTGGAGGAACAGAAACACAGCACAGCAGCATCAGGGTGTGTCTGAAACACCCTCCTGACACACAGAACGAGCATCAGGGGGACATTTAAACAAAGGATGGGAAGGATTTCATAAATTCTGACGTTCCTGGGAGGTTTCCACTTGTGGCTTTAAGGAGGTGAGACCAGAACAGAGTCCAGCTTTAACTTGAGAGGGAAAAGCTCTTACAGAAGTGTTGATGAGTGTTCTGTTCACCGTGGTCCTGCTCTCCTCCTCCTCCTCCCTGCTGCCTCCTTGCTCTTGGAGCCTTTTCTCTGTCTCAGCGAGGGATTTTTCCCTGACAGCCGGGTCCGGGGAGTTCAGGCCTTGCAACAAATTGGCTAAAAAGGCACAGAAAAAACCCAAATAAAATATTTATACACACAGGACTTCAAACGTGGAAGGACCAGGAGGTCAGGTGCCCTCCCGCTCTCCCCGGCACTCACTGACGTCGTCCACGCGGCGCAGGAAGCGCTGGAAATCCGCCTCCGTGTCTTCGTCGCGCAGCATGGCCGGGGGACAGCGAGGGGACAGCGAGGGGACACCGGGGGACACCGGGGGACAGCGGAGCCGCCGGGGCCGGGCTCGAACCCGCGCCGCCGTTGTCAAGGGAACGCGCCGGACGCGGCACGCGCGGCCATGCAAATGAAGGGCGGGGATATGCAGATAAGGAGGCGGAGCTTGTGTGGGTGTGGGCGGGGTTATGTAAACGAGCCGGCAATTTGGCGGGAAACCGGTAGGTCCCGCCCGCGGGCTCCCGGCTCAGAATCCCGGGATTATCCCGGGATATTTTTATGGAAAAGAGCTCCGGCAGCACCGAGCTCACCCCGTGAGCCATCCTCACCTTGTCCCCAGCCCAGAGCCCCGAGTGCCAGCCCCGGGCCTTCCCGGGACACCTCCAGGGACGGGCGCTCCGCACCTCCCTGGGCAGTCCCCGCCAATTCCGTGGGGAAATTCCTGCCCATGTCCAACCTGGAGCTTGTCCTGATCTTTATGCCAGGTTCAGACTGGTTTTCGATCTCCCTGAAAGGCTGTGGCTTTCCGCGTCTCTGAGAGGCGATGGAAGCTGTCGGCCACCGCAGGGAGCCAGAGCATCGCGGAGCTGCGCTGCCAGGGACTGACATTCCCGGGATTGCCATTCCAGGGATTGCCATTCCAGGGATTGCCATTCCAGGGATTGCCGTTCCCGGGATTGCCATTCCAGGGATTGCCGTTCCCGGGATTGCCGTTCCCGGGATTGCCATTCCCGGGATTGCCATTCCCGGGATTGCCATTGGGGGGAAG